ATCACTTTTTTATTCTTATTCTTATCAAAGGTCGGGATTTAAGTATTTTAAGTATGGGTGCACACAGGTTGGATTGGGTTGCGTCCCGAAATTTTGAGTTGGAGTTAGTCGGGTTGGTGACCCGAGCCACCTGAACCACCCGAAGAGAGCTTACAGTCCAACCCAACCCAACTCTCTATTTTTAAGTGGGTTGGATTGGATTGTCGAGTTGTTTTTTTTTTAATTATTTTTAAATAATACAATAGTAGAAATTTCATAAAGTTCAAATATCAAATATTTTTATCAGTCACAACCCACCGCTAATGTTGATTACAAAGGTTAAATGTTAAGTTAGTTTCGCACGGACTAGTTAAAATGAACGCACTAACCGAATAAAATTTTTAAATTTTCAAAAGTTCAGCCTAACCCAAATTGAAAAAGAATTGAAATTATATGTTGGTCATCGGTTAGCTCGGAATTGGAGCAAATCTTCTCCCTTTATCTTCTCTAAATTGACGAAAGGTATTTATATGGGAACCCTTCTAGGGTTACTTATGTTTTCCTTATGAGTTAGGTTAAAAATGAACTAATCAATATGCCACAAGCCAAGAGGTAAGTGTGATACGTGCTCCTTGAGAGGCCGATAATAGGGTTAGCCTCGGCCGCATGAGTTGCATTTGAGCTTCACTCAAAATTCTCCTTTTTCTTCTTTGTCTTGACTCCTACTCCTTCTTTATTGGCTCAAATCTGTCCCCCTGTTACCTTTTATGAGATGGGAACAAACCTCTCTTCAGTAGACGCATTTTAAAATCGTGAGACTAACGACGATACGTAACAAGTCAAAACAGACAATATCTGCTAGGTTCTATTTGTTTTGTCTTTAAATTCCCTTGTAACTTGGAGTTATTCTCGTAGTCGAATATTTACCCATTTGAACAAAACAACAAAAACTAGCATAAAAGAAGTCCAAATTTCATGCAAATAGAAAGCAAAAACGAATTTGTATACTCGATCGACAAAACCCACCTTTCAAATAAGAATAAATTTGTATAGTATGATGCCAATAGACATTTTTGTTCATCTTTTTATGAGAAAAAAACCCAAGAATATACATGAACTTAGAAACTACACACCAAGGCTCCCCCTCCTCCACTTTTTAATACCCAAATTCAATGGGTTTAATACTCAATGCAACTTGATAAAGCTTGAATATTCTACCTCATTGAGCTTCCAAGGAGTCTAAGCCAAAGAAAAAGGCACCTTTGTGCAGCAAAATGGACAGTGTCCTAAGTGGTCGTAGTGGTCACCCACTTTGAAAGAAAAAGTGGTTTTCTTTAAGAAAATGGAGACAAAATGGTTATTTCACCATCGCCCTTTGGCATCTTTCTACTTCTTGTTGCTTTGAATATGCCTTCTTAGATTCTCTCCCTCTTTCTTATCTCTATATCCTCCCTTTTGTGCTTCATTAATTTTAGCCTCTTCTTTTAACAAACTTTTCTATTTGAACTTATCTTCTCACTTTTGACTCTTAAATGGAGATGGGTCGAGATGGATCGAGATGGGTCGGGAACTGACATTTAATAGTTTCATAATTATATCTGAAGTTATTTTATCTATTGTAGTACGAGTAGTAGAAATAATGTCGTGTTTGTGCAAATTAAGTAGCATGGTTAATAAGTAGGACCCTCACTTTGGATAGCGTATTTGTGAGATCCCACATCGATGGGAGAGAAGAATGAAACATTCCTTATAAGAGTGTGGAAACGTCTCCCTAATAAACGCATTTTAAAATCGTGAGGCTAATAACGATACATTACGAGCCAAAATGGACAATATCTGTTAATGGTGAACTTGGGCTGTTACAAAAAGTATCAAAGCCAAATATTGAGCAGTGAGTCAGCGAGGACGCTGGACCCCAAAGTGGGTAGATTGTGAGATCACACGAGAGGGAAAAGAAACATTCTTTTAAAAGTATGGAAACCTCTCCCTTGCGTTTTAAAATCATGAGGCCAAAACGGACAATATATGCTGTCTTGAAAAAAAGAATTTTTTTCTTGTTTTTTATTATATATATATATATATAATACTATGAGAAAAATAGCTGAAAACATAAACACGAAACTTGATCCCGTAATAGTTTCTTAATTGTTTAGGCTATTAGAAAAATAATTATAAAAAACGAGCACGCTTTTACTTATAAAAAAGAATCGAAAACGAAAAACATAAAATGAAAAACGAACCAATTATTTAACGCGTCCAAACAAGGAGAAACTAAAATAAGATTTAATTTTTAAAAAAAAAATAAATAAGAATTGTTTGGCCAACTTTTGAAGAGAATAATATGAGGCATTGGTTAGTTTAGTTATCAAATCAAGATTGAAAGCTGACAAAATCCCCTAATTTAATACTTACACGCATGCAATACATGGATTTTGACTTCTTTAATCAACAATTAAATTAATTAAACATTGCATTTTCAACCATATGGAACTTATGTTCTTAATACGACAAAAAAATTCCATCCGGCTGATGTAACAGTTCAAGTTTACTGCTAGCAGATATTATCCGCTTTGACTCGTTACGTATCACTGTCAGCCTCATAATTTTAAAACGTGTTTGCTAGAGAGAGGTTTCCACATCTTGATAAGAAATGTTTCGTTATCCTCTCGAATCCATGCTAGATCTTACAATCCACCCCTTAGGTGCTCAACGTCTTTGTTGGCACATCGCCTAGTAACTGATTTTGATACCATTTGTATCAGCCAAACCCACCGCTAGCAAATTTAGTTTGTTTTGGCTCGTTTATGTATCGTTGTCAGCCTCATGGTTTTAGAACGTGTTTGTTTGAGAGAGGTTTCCACATCCTTATAATAAATGCTTCGTTCCCCTTTCCAATCGATGTGAGATCTCACAATCCACCTCTTGAGTGCCCAGCGTCTTGTTAGCACACCCGCCTAGTGGCTGGCTCTGATATCATTTGTATCAGCCAAACCTACCATTAGCAGATAATATCCGCTTTGGCTCATTACTTATCGCTGTCAACCTCACTGTTTTAGAATATGTCTGTTAGGGAGAGATTTCCACACCCTTATAATAAATGCTTTGTTTCCATCTCCAACCGAGGTGAGAACTCACAGTCCACCCCTAGGGTGTCAAGGGTCCTCGATGGTACACTGCCTCATGGTTGGCTCTGATATCATTTGTATCAGCAACCCTCCGCTAGCAAATATTGTCCACTTTGGCCCATTACGTATTATCGTCAGCCTACAGTTTTAAAACTCATTTGCTGGGGGGAGGTTTACAGACTCTTATAAGGAATGTTTCGTTCTCCTCTCCAACCGATGTGGGACCTCACATATGCAGACTCATTCAACCTTGCTCCATTACGAAGAATACTGTCCCGGTTTAGCTACGAGGTTTGCTCGGGAATAGTCCAGTTAACTTATAAACACACATTAATTACTTAAACTCGAGTTTAACCTTTAATACACACTAAAAATGTTATTTTAAGGCTTAAAGACCAATTCCAACATAAAAGGGCAAAGCAATTAAATGATTATAAATACGTTAAGGGTGGCTAAATATGTTACATGTTTTTTAAGTCAAATACTATGGTAGCTCATGGATCGCTTTCTTCCATTAATTTTCTTTTTCAAACCAAATAAAACCAAAACAATAAAGGCCAACAAAACACCAACAACTCAACCTTTTTAGCCTTCTACTTTCTTCTTAATTGGACTCGTGCGAGTTTAAATGGCCCGCCTTTTCGTTTTCTTGCCTTTTAATTTATGTGGTTGACCGACGTTCAGAGTTGAGATTCAAATTACCGATTTTTTTCTTTTTTATCGAAGATATAATACTATGTTCGTATTTGTTAATATAAATTAGATATACGATATCGTTCTTTAAAATATTAATGATTTATTTTAAATAATGGAGATTAAAAATTGCCATTTGTAAGAAAAATTATTAATATATTGACCGACCAACTTCTTTTTTTATAGTAATTAGTATTCTTTATTTTAAATGATAATAGTTTCTTTCCATAACTAGAAAATATATATATTATTTTTTTTTGAGTTAGATTATTATTAATAAATAATATCATATCCTAACGAAAGTAATATCGAAGATATGAAATCATAATTAAGAAATGTTTAAAAGAATTGACTGTTACCGTCTATACCAACAAACTGGACATTCCTTTTCGGTGATTCAATTTTAAAAACTTCAAAGTTAGACGTGTTTAACTTAGAACAATCCTACGTTGGATATACTAAAAACACTACAAGTAGTGTTTAGTAGAAATTGTCTGGTTTGACTCGTTACGTATTACTGTCAGTCTCGCAGTTTTAAAACATGTTTACTAAAGAGAGACTTTTATACTCATATAAGAAATGTTTTGTTTCTCTCTCCAACTGACGTGAGATCTCACAATTCACTCCCATTGGAGGGTGTCTGGCTCTGATACCATTTGTAACAGCTCAAGTCCATGATATTGTCCACTTTGGCTCGTTACGTATTGTCGTCGTCGGCCTCACAGTTTTAAAATGCATCTACTTGGGTCTCCACACCCTTGTAAGAAATATTTTGTTATTCTCTCCAACCGATGTGGGATCTCACAAGTAGCTAATAAGATCAAGTTGTCGGGGACGATCAGGTTCTAAGTATTTAAAAAGATTTTTTTTTTTGTTTGACATGGTATTTAAAAATTATTTTATTTGGGTGAGGGGAGAAATTTTGTATAAATCATCTCAATCTAATATGGGTTTTTGGTGCATTAAATTTCTTGCCATATCAAGCAAAACAATTTGTGATATTGTGAAAAAAAGCATCAAAATTTTCTTTTCCAAAGAGTGGTAGCAACAAATTTGGTGAGAATAAGATGAACAGTCTCTGATCTAAAAATTCCATAAAAAGAAAATAAAACAAAATGTTTAATTAAAAAAAAATTATTGAAAAAAAATTGGTTTCATTTCTCCCTTAAATGCAGTCTTTCAAACTCAACAGTACACAGAAATTGCATTGATGGGGTCAGTTTTTCTTTGTTTTGGTGCGTTCAAACTTTTTCAATCATGCTTGCTGAGCTGAGCATTTCGCCCACTCAATTGCTCTTTAATTGTTCTTCAACAGTTATCACACAAAATCAGAATCCTATGAACAAATCCAAAATATCCCAATTTCAAAATATCCCTCTCCTTCATTTCTGATTTGCTCTGTTCTTTCTTGTTCTTCTTTTAAATTCTCCTTCTAACCAATCGAAGCTTATGTTCTTTGTTCATCATTTTCCTGTTCTTTCTTGATTTCTCCGTTGCCCTCTTTGCATTGGTGGGTCCGCCATTGAAGGCGAGTTACTTGTTTGATTTTACTTTGCATTTAGCCATCTGGGTCATCTTTATTCGCTTTAATATTTAATGGGTAATGGCTATTTTGAAGCTTTGAGATAGCCATTGATGGATCTGGAGAGTGCTATTAGGGGTCACTCAATCAAGGTACTACAAAAATGGCACTCTAATCTGTTCATCGTGTTCTTCATTTTCATCATGTTTTGTTGATTTTGATCGCTTCTGTTTCAGAAGGATTCTTGGAGAGCTGTTTTAACTTTGGCTTATCAAAGCTTGGGGGTTGTTTATGGCGATTTGAGTACTTCCCCTTTGTATGTTTACAAAAGCACTTTTGCTGAGGATATTGAGCACTCTGAAACTAATGAGGAGATTTATGGGATTCTTTCTTTTGTTTTCTGGACTCTCACGCTTATTCCTTTGATTAAATACGTTTTTATTGTTCTTCGAGCTGATGATAATGGCGAGGGGGGAACTTTTGCTTTGTACTCATTGCTTTGCCGCCATGCCCGAGTTGGCTCCTTGCCTAATTGTCAGCTCGCGGATGAGGAGCTTTCTGAGTATACAAAAGATGGGGTGGATTTAACCACTAAGAACACTTGTGGGTCGAGATTGAAATCGACATTAGAGAACCATAGAGTGCTGCAGAGGGTTTTGCTTGTTCTTGCTTTGATTGGGGCTTGCATGGTGATTGGAGATGGAGTTCTTACTCCTGCCATTTCTGGTATTGTTGATTCTTCATGCTGTTCTGTTTTTTTTTCAAATGATTTTAGTGTTTGAATTGATGGGACTTGCTGGTTTTGGATCTTTATGGCAGTTTTCTCTGCTGTTTCTGGGCTGGAACTTTCCATGGCTAAAGAACACCATCGATGTAAGCTTCTTTGCTGGTCTATTTACTTGAATGTTCATGGAAAAGCTGATAAATTCTGATGATTTCTGTGAGATCCCATGTCAGTTGTGGAAGAGAACGGAATATTTGACTAGTAGACGCGTAGACGCGTTTGTGTGAGATCCCATGTCGGTTGTGGGTGTGGAAACTTTTGACTAGTAGATGCGTTTTAAAAACTTTGAGGTAAGGGAAAGCCCAAAGAGGACAAGATTTACTAGCGGTGGGCTTGGGCTGTTACAAATGGTATCAGAGCTAGACACCGGGCGATGTGTTAGCGTGGAGGTTGAGTCCCTAAGAAGGTGGATAAGTAAGAACGCTGGGCTTCGAAGGGGGTAGATTGGGGGTTCTCACATCGATTGGAGAAGGGAACGAGTGCCAGCGAGGACGTTGGGCCCCGAAGGGGATAAGAGTGTGGAAACCTCTATAGAGGGTGGACATGAGACGGTGTGCCAGCAAGAATGCTGAGCCCCGAAGGGGGGTGGATTGGAGGGTCCCACATCGATTGGAGAAAGGAACAAGTGCCAGCGAGGAAGCTGGGCCCCAAAGGGGATAAGGTGTGGAAACCTCTATAAGCGGTGTACATGAGGCGGTGTGCCAGTAAGAACGCTGGGCCCCGAAGGGGGTGGATTGGGGAGTCCCGCATCGATTGGAGAAGGGAACGAGTGCTAGTGAAGCGCTTGGGATAAGGGTGTGGAAACCTCTCGAAAGGGGGTGGATTGTGAGATCCCACATCGGTTGGGGAGGAGAACGAAACATTCTTTATAAGGGTGTGGAAACCTCTCTCTAGCAGACGCGTTTTAAAAACTTTGAGGGGAATCCCGAAAGAGGACAATATCTACTAGTGGTGGGCTTAGGCCGTGTTAATAATTAGTTTTTCGTTTTCAATTGTTATTTTAGTTAGTTTAGCTGCAACATGAACAGGATTCTGGCCACCAATTATTACACAAATTATTGTGGGTCTCTGCATATATGATTGACATTCAAACACCTCAGTTCAAATCGTAGTCAAATCACTATCATGTGAAGAAAAGAAGATAAAAAAGGGAAAAGAGAGGTTAAATCAATACTTTTACTGAAACCCTTTGAACTTTTTTACTGTTGTTTGGCTAGCTGCTATAGGATTTAGACCATTCATCTCTTGGTTAAACCATTACCTTCTAAGACACCATTGAAGTATCCATATCACCCGACTTTGACGAGATCGATCTTTATCGTACTAAGGCTAGTTTTGAGGTAACATCTTTCTGGTAGCGGGTTTTTATCGAACGTCCATTATTGATGATGGGTCCTTTTAACTTGAACTAGTAAAGTTTTCTTTTCTGTTTGTTGGTTGCTGTTGTCTGCTAACAGTGCTACCTTCAAAGATGGTTACTAGTTTGGGCTTGAACAAGCTATTTGGTTGCTTTACGCGTCATCTGCTTGAGATGTTTGGTAATATTTGATTTTTGATATCATAACTGTGAGATTCCACGTCGGTTGGAGAGGGGAATGAAACATTGCTTACAAGGGTGTGGAAACTTCTCCCTAGTAGACGTGTTTAAAATTGTGAGGCTGACGGCGATATGTAACGGGTCAAAGCAGACAATATCTACTAGTCGTGGGCTTGGGATGTTACAAATGGTATTGGAGTTAGATACTAGGCGGTGTGCTAGTGAGGATGTTGGACTCTCAAGGGGGTGTTAGACCCTACATCGGTTGGAGAGGGGAACGAAACATTTCTTATAAGAGTTTGGAACCTTTCCCTAGTATACGCATTTAAAAATCGTGAGGTTGATGACGATACGTAACGGGCCAATATGGACAATATCTACTAGTGGTGGGCTTGGGATTGTTACAAATAGTATCGGAGCTAGACACCAAGCGGTGTGCTAGCGAGGACGTTGGACCCCCAAGGGGAGTGAATTGTGAGATCTCACGTATGTTGGAGAGAGAACCAAACATTCCTTATAAGGGTGTGGAAACCTCTCCCTAGTATACGCGTTTTAAAACTGTGAAGCTGATGGTGATACGTAACGAGCCAAAACGGACAATATCTGTTAGCGGTGGGCTTGAGCTGTTACATTAATAATCTTCGTTCACACTCGACGAATATGCTACACGGATATAACTTTGTTCACATTTTAAAAGCTTTTTTGGCATCCCAGATTCTGCATGTACCGTGCTTGTACTTTCTGTATTTTCTGTATTCTCTCGTACTGTATATACCTGGAGTCATCAATATAAACCTTTAGCCAATATTTCTACTGCATTTTCTTTCTCTTGTTCTTTGTGTTCATCTAGATTGAGTGTGTGTTGTTGTGCGAAGTAAAACATGAAAATGTTAATAGTTCAATGCTTCTGCAGATGTCGAAGTCCCGGTCGCTTGTGTCATATTAGTAATCCTATTTTCACTTCAACATTATGGAACCCATCGAGTCGGGTTTCTGTTCGCACCAGTTGTAATTACCTGGCTCGTGTGTATAAGTTCGATAGGACTGTACAATATCTTCTACTGGAATCCCCATGTTTATCAAGCACTCTCCCCATATTATATGTACAAATTTTTGAAGAAGACCCAAAGGGGAGGTTGGATGTCCCTGGGCGGCATCCTGTTATGTATGACAGGTAATGAGAGTGGCTCAACCCACTGCATTTTTCTCCTAGCCAATCCGTTGTCCTCGAGTTATCTAAACTGACCTGTTCGATATTCAGGTTCGGAAGCAATGTTTGCTGATCTCGGCCACTTCTCGCAGCTATCTATCAAGGTTGTTTTTATACTCAGCTGAAATTTTGAACACGAGTCGTTAGTTTAAGACGAGTACATACTAAAAGTTCTCTCGAGTTCATATATGGATGTAGAATTGTAGCAATATGCTTATGATCGTTTTTTTGATGCTCGAATCTCTGTCGTGTATAAAGTTATCTGATGATGTTATTCAAGCTATTATTGGTTGAAACTCGGAGCGTTTTTCTAATAGAAAGCTGTTCTACTGCAGATTGCGTTTTCTTTTGTGGTTTATCCAGCTTTGGTACTGGCATATATGGGACAAGCTGCTTATCTTTCTCAACATCACGGTGAAGAAAGTAACTATCGAATCGGATTTTACGTGTCGGTTCCTGGTAGGTGACAATTTGGTGCATATGAGACAAGTGAATGAACATACTTGAAATGTCGAATGAGTTCAACTTTGTGTTTTTATGTTTCAGAGAAAATAAGATGGCCTGTACTTGTGATAGCCATTTTAGCTGCGGTGGTCGGAAGTCAAGCTGTCATTACCGGGACGTTTTCGATAATAAAACAGTGCTCTGCGTTAGGCTGCTTCCCAAGGGTCAAAATTGTTCATACGTCGTCGAAAATCCACGGCCAGATTTACATACCAGAGATCAACTGGACTTTGATGATCTTGTGCTTGGCTATTACTGGTGGCTTTCGAGACACGAAACGAATGGGGAATGCATCAGGTATACTCTCCGCACGACTCGTGGTTATGGCTGTTTGATGATTTTTCATGAGTAAAACTGATCGTTGTGTCGTTGTTACCGACAGGTTTAGCGGTAATAACTGTTATGCTAGTGACTACCTGCCTAATGTCTGTAGTCATCATCTTGTGCTGGAACAAAAGCTTTCTCTTTGCCATTGCCTTCATACTCATTTTCGGGTTCATCGAATCACTCTACTTCTCGGCATCTCTCATCAAGTTTCAAGAAGGAGCGTGGGTTCCCATTGCCCTCTCGCTCATCTTCCTACTAGTCATGTACGTATGGCAATACGGAACGCGCAAGAAATACGAGTACGATGTTCAAAACAAAGTCTCAATCAACTGGCTCTTAGGCTTAGGTCCAAGTTTAGGCATTGTACGAGTACGAGGCATTGGTCTTATATACACCGAGCTAGTCTCAGGTATCCCCGCCATCTTCTCCCACTTCGTAACAAACCTCCCGGCCTTCCACCAAGTCCTAGTCTTCCTTTGTGTAAAATCCGTCCCCGTCCCACACGTGAGACCAGGAGAGAGATTCCTCGTAGGAAGAGTTGGACCAAAGGAGTACCGTCTGTATCGATGCATAGCACGATATGGATACCGCGACATCCACAAGGATGGTATCGAGTTCGAGAAGGACCTAGTGTGTAGCATTGCGGAGTTCATAAGGTCAGAGAAGGCGGAGACGAACGTGAAGGTGGAAGATTTGGAAGAGAGCGAGAGAATGACGGTGGTGGGAACGTCGTCGACACACGTAGACGGAGTGAGAATGTGTGAAGATGAAGGAGGAGGAGAGACATCAGAGGTGAGGGAGATAAAGTCAGCACAAAAGGTGAGGAAAAGAGTGAGGTTTGTTGTGCCTGAGAGCCCACAAATGGATGTGGAGGCAAGGAGAGAGCTGGAAGAGCTAATGGAAGCAAGAGAGGCAGGGATGGCTTTCATTATGGGACATTCATATGTGAAGGCAAAGAGAGGGTCAGGTTGGGTGAAGAAAATGGTGATAAATTATGGGTATGATTTCTTGAGAAGGAACTCAAGAGGGCCATCTTATGCTTGGACTGTGCCTCATGCATCTACTCTAGAGGTTGGGATGATCTACCAAGTTTGATTACCCTAAACCCTCTCTTTGTATATAATAAAAGCGTTTTTGTCTAATCTTTCTCTTTTCTTAATAAATTTTGGTTTTGATTTCAGTCGTTTATATTTTGTTTCAAAAATACCGTTTATACCCTTTTCACTAAGCGATGATTGATTCAGTCCCTACCTTTGAAACCAGAAGGAAGGTTGTGCCCTCGATTGTTTTAGAGAAAAGGATCATGGTGCACTAGAACCCTGACAACGAACACTAGCATCTCCTTGCATGCAAGAGGCAACTATGTTAGTTGTTATTTTCGGCTCTATTATGAAAGAAAGCAGCTAACGGCCTAATGAGGGATTTTAGGGGATTTGGGCGATCCTTTCTCTCCTCCCCCATCTCGAGAGGGTTCCGTATCTGTCTCTGCATATGTTTTTAGATCGAACTTTCAAAAGTTTCATTAATGTTTTTTAACTTTTTAAAAAACTTTGAAAACACTGTTAAACTTTTTGTTAGAAGTTCAAAACTACTTTTATTATTAGTATATGAACGGAACGGTTAGTATTACATTTAAAAAATATCGATGAACATTCTGAAGTAATATTAATTATTAATTAAAATTTGCCAATTTTAATAGAGATTTATCATCTTAAAATATTTTGTTGAATTAAAAGAAGGAAAAGAATAATAAAAATTTGACAATATACATTATTTAAAATTTAAGCCATAAAACTAATTACATCGACGACGTCGTTTCGGCCGCCAAAATTTCGACTGTCCTACTGGGCAATTGGCATTGACTATAAATAAGCCAGAGTTCCCGGCGATTGGCGGCAACGACGGACTGAAACCAGAAGCCTCGAGGTCAAGGGACCAACAAAAATGGGAGTTCACGGTCTTTGGGAGCTTTTGGCCCCCGTCGGCCGACGTGTATCGGTTGAAACCCTAGCTGGGAAGAAGCTGGCGATCGGTACAGACATCTCTCTCTTTCACTTCTCTGAATTGTTTTAAGAAAAATTCATTGTCGATGAAGTTTCTTTTTTGGTTTATTTTTCTGTTGAAGATGCGAGCATTTGGATGGTACAATTCATAAAGGCAATGCGTGATGAAAGAGGAGAAATGGTCCGAAACGCTCATTTACTCGGTTTCTTTCGACGGATTTGTAAACTTCTATTCTTGCGGACTAAGCCTGTTTTTGTCTTCGATGGTGCAACCCCGTCTCTCAAGCGCCGGACTCTGATTGCTCGCCGTAGGCAGCGTGAGAATGCCCAGGCTAAAGTTCGTAAGACTGCCGAGAAATTGCTTCTCAATCATGTGAGTTTAGTTTCCGGTCCTTTTCGAGTGTTTTTGGAGTTCTGTGCTGGAAATTTGTCTATTCGTCTACAGAAATTATTGTGCTTATGTTTGGGAATTTTTTCCAGTAGAATTAAGAACTGTCTGTTTTTCAATGGGTGGCGTTTGATTAGACGGAAGTATTTCAAGCTCATTTACATCATTTTGCAGTCCAAAATTAATTGGAATCTCGTTTCACATTGCTTGTCGTATTAGAAGTCCTACTGGATACTGGCGATTCTAAATTTTAGTGACGTCGTTGGATGTATGCCATTTTACTCTTCCAGCAATACATAGAAGCAGATCACTACCCGCTTCCCAGATAGCTTTTGTTCGGTTGGAAACTTAAACCTTCATTTCAACAAAGACGTTTAGTTGTGATTGTATTCCCCGTAAATAAATAGTAATGAAAACAGTTTGTTGTTTTATTTTTCATTTTTCATGTGACTGATCAGTTTGTTGTTGGATCTAATTTTTTTTTATATTTAATTAAATTCCTAGTTGCAACTTGCAATTGTGTGTTAAGTCTTGAACTATTCTACCTATTGTTTAATAGCTCAAGGAAATGAGGTTGAGAGAACTGGCTGAGGGTATAAAGAACCAGAAACAGCAGAGGAAGCAGGATGTTCCAAAAAAGAAGACCTTACTGAACCATAACGAAATTGTAGATGGTACTTCTGTTTCAGAAAGGAGCAAAAGCGTCCCAAACAGTGGCAATCATGAAAATCTGGATGGAATGTGAGACAAGTCTTGTGAATACAGCTGCAATATGTAAATACATGGAAGAATGTCATGTGACAGGTTTTTTTGTTGATCAATTAGGGTGGCAGCATCAATTATGATCGAGGAGAATGGGTTTTTCTCGAGTAGTGCCCCCTCTTTTTCTGGTGTCACTCTTCCCAAAAAGGACAGAGGTGAACAGTCAATTCTGGTAAGTTTGCTGCCTGTGTATATCAATAAGCTTCAAGATTGGGTCTAGTATTTCTTTTCCATAAATTGGAAGGTGAAAGACGAGAGACCTGACAAACAGGATGTTGGATCCAGAACCAGAAGTACAAGAATGACTCAAAGGGCAAGAAGATTTTGTCAGATGAAATTCATGTAGTGGGAAGTGATTCCGAAAGGATGGAAGTGGCCTCAAGAAGTGCCCATCAGCAAAATTTAGATGAGATGTAAGGTGCACTTACACGGGTTATATCTCTATTGTCAATGTCTTATGTTGATCACATTCTTTCTGCTGTGATTATTCTAGGTTGGCAGCATCTATTGCAGCAGAGGAAGCTAGAGGTTTGAATGAAAATATATCAGTATCTTCTGCTGCGAATCTGGCAGGTGAAGATATGGATGATGAAGATGAAGATGAAGAGATGATATTGGTATGCTGTCCCTGGCAGATTTCTGTTCATATGATTTTTAATCAACAAATTGTTCTTTACCACAGTGGCTTTCTTAAATTATTCTCATATTCACGAAGTTAGAAGCTTTAGGAAGCAAACTTCGATGGTGTTTGTGTCATTGGATATCAGTCATAAGTCAGCAGATATGAGGTGCAACAGTGACCTTTACCTGTGAAAATCTGGATGTTTATAGGATAGTTTTCGCTCTTGCACATTTCTTTGTGCAGAATGAAAATACTAACTAAATAATATTACTTTTGAGATTGTGAATCTTAGGCTTACTGGAAATCAAGGAGCCCTCAACTTGTAAGTTATTAATTGTGCCCATCATATGTTTTTATTTACTTTGCCAGCCTGAAATGCACGGGGTAGTTGATCCTTCTGTATTGGCTGCTTTGCCACCGTCAGTTCAACTTGATCTTCTTGTTCAGGTAAGTTTCAGTATATGTACCATGGTTGGGTAGTGATGTAACTTCATGCTGGCACATGTTAATGCAAACATATTCTTGGTGCAGATGAGAGAGAGATTAATGGCAGAAAACAGACAGAAATATCAAAGGGTCAAGAAGGTTGGTTCTGAAATGGTTCAATATGCATCTGTCATATATTTTAGGGCCTCATCTACTACTCTTTTACACACGCACTCTAACAAATGCATGTAAGAAATGTACTTTTCATTACCAAATAGGGAAGAACAAGGGGGAAGATGAGATATCGTTCATACCATAGATTATTGTTTCTTTAGGTAGACTTACTATCCTTATGATTTCCATAATTGTTGATGAGATATGGGGTAGTTTTGTGCAAGTGTATTCCATTTCTTTGAAGAAGCTCCGTTGAAGTTTCATTTTTTTATTTTGTGTGTACTTCTGTTGCCCCTCTCCTCTAATGACTTTCAATCCCATCTTATTAGTTGATTTCATTTTATTATAGGATCCTGCAAAGTTTTCTGAGCTACAGATACAGGCTTATCTTAAAACTGTTGCTTTTCGCCGGGATATTGATCAAGTGCAGAAGGCTGCTTCTGGGAGAGGTGTTGGTGGTGTACAGACATCAAGAATTGCCTCTGAAGCAAACCGGGAATTTATTTTTTCATCATCTTTCACTGGTGATAAACAGTGAGTTGTTTAAACTCTGCTCAAATTCGGTTATTTTAAAAGATCAATGTGCATGATAAAGTAGTTTGGACAGATATTTGAGAGCTGATTTAAGTTGTTCCTTTTCCCTGAAAGCTTGCTTGTTTGGGATTTATAAAATATTTTAGATTCATGAGATGTTTGATTTTCTCAGGGTACTTACATCTACTAGAGCTGAGAAGAACGGAGACAAAAACCTACAGGAACCAAGGGTTCAGCAATCTTTGAGTTCCCTGAATAATACAGACATTCCTAGTACATCCAATGGTCTGGCTCAATCAACCCCTGATAAGTCAGGGGTTTTTGAGGACAATATCGAGACATTTTTGGATGAGAGGGGACGTGTTCGAGTTAGCAGAGTGAGGGCCATGGGGATGCACATGACTCGTGATTTAGAAAGAAACTTGGATTTGATGAAAGAGATCGAGAAGAATATCAATGCAAATAAGGTTGCAAATCCTGAACCCATGCAAAATATTGAAATTTGTAATCCAGAAAGCTCTTCTCTTCGAAGCCAAGTTTTAGATGTTTCAAATGAAGGCATCGATGAATCCATTAATAAGTTGGATGAGAGAGGTGCAGATTCTATGCTGAATGAAGACACTGCTATAGAAATATTGCTAGAAGGTGAGGGTGGGAAGTCTTTTGATGGTGATGATGATCTATTTACTCATTTAGCCGCTGAAAATCCCATTCAAATGGCTTCTTTTGACATCTCGTCCCAAAAACTCTCTCAAGATGGTACTACAGATTCTGGTTGGAAGGAAGCACTTGAAGGAACCATTAGTGATGAGAGTGAAGTCGATTGGGAGGATGGAGTTTGTGATCATGTAAACCCAGTTCCTTTTGAAGATGAATCAGGAAAGTCCGTTTCCAAAGGTTCTTTGGAGGAAGAGGCTGATTTGCAGGAGGCAATAAGAAGAAGTCTGGAGGATGTAGGAGATGGAAAATCTGGCCCTGTATCTCTTGAACATGAGCAACCACAATCACAACCATCAATTGTTGGAAAAATGGCCGAACAATGTACGAGTGTCGAAAATGAGAATGTGATTGGACTTGAAAAGATGGATAGTGTTGATGGAATGAATTGGTCAAATGCCAAGGATTCTATCTTGAAGAAGGTAATCTCTAGACTCTAGTTTGTAATCTAAAATTCTTTTATGTGAAGCAGTGTCCTTACTTTGAACTGTTTATCCAGGGAATGACTGAGAGTTCATCTCAAGAAAAGCAATGTTCAGAACCTGTTGTG